ACTATAAAGAACACCCACAGCTCAATAATAAAAACACAAATAACCTAATAAAACATGCAAAAGATTTGAACAGCCATCTCACAAAAGTAGACATATGAATGGCCAATAAGCCTACAGGAAAGGGCTTAGCATCATTCGTCATCAGAAAAATGCAAATTAAAATTACAGTGACTTACCAGCAATTTTGGTGAGGATGTGGAACAACTTCGAGCATGCATTGTTGGTGTGAATGGAAAATGATACAACTGCCTTGGGAAAATGTCTTGGCAGTTTTTAAAATAAAACTAAACATACATCTACTCCATGACTCACAAATTCCACTCATAGGCATTTTTCCATGAGAAGTGGAAATGTATGTTTACAAAAAGCTTATAGCAGCTTTATGCACAGTAGCACCAAACTGGAAATGGCCCAGGTACCTATCAGTAGTAGAATGGATGAACAAACTCTAGCATAGTTATACAATGGAACACCAATGAGCAATAGAGAGAATCAAACTACCAAAGCATGTAACAACGTGCAAGAATCTTACCAGCATCATGGTAAGTGAAAGAAGACTTCCAAAAAATAATACATAGTTAGTATGAGGGCTATTAGAGCGAAATTCTGGAATGGGAAAAAACTAATCAATAGTGGAAAAAATCAGAACTGTGATTGACTCTGGGAGTTGGTAAAGGGGATTGGTCATGGGGAACTTTCTGGGGTATAATATTATTCTGTATCTAGATAGAGATTTGTGTTTCACAGATGTATGCATTTGTCACAACTCACTGAATGTACAGTTAAGAGTTTCACACTTGTATATAAATCATACACCAAAAATCTGTAAGCAAACATTGAACTCCAGTTAATTATATGCATGCTGAAGTTTTGGTGGAATGTAACTGATATCTGCAATTTATTTGAAATGCATAAAAAATAAGATGGACTGGTGGATAGATAGGGAATGAGTAGATGGCTAATTATATAATAAAACAAATATAGTAAAATATTAATGATAAACTACATAGGGCATGCATAGGTGATCACAGTAAAACTTGAAATTTTTCATAAAATATTGGGGGGAAGAACAATGAAAGGAGAAGTCAAGGAGCAACATTTTTGTGATGATTCTTCAGGTTCTTCCCCTTTGATAAAATATTTATGTTCTTAATTAAGATGAAAGATTACCCAATTTGTTTGTGATGATGCTTGAAGATACTTTACCTCTATTAACTAAAACAAAGTCTTTAGCTTCTTCTGTGAAGACATGACCTGTAATCTAAGTCTTGAGCTTGCTCCCTAGCTATTTGTGTCTTTTATGTGTTGTTCTCATTATTTCCATACTGTTTGTCTTCTACACACACATAAGCACATAAAACTAAGAGATGGAGCACACATGGCTGCATTTTCTCTTGTGACAAATCCACAATATCTTCGAAAAGATATT